ACCACTCTTCGGGTTCTGCTACACGTTGCTGCTCACCGTGACTACGAGCTGCACTCTCTCGACTTCAGCACAGCTTTCTTGCAGGGCAGCCTGCACGAGGAGATCTGGCTGCGTCGCCCACCTGGCTTCACTGGGTCTTTCCCTCCTGGTACCCAGTGGAGTCTCCGGCGTCCAGTCTACGGTCTCCGCCAGGCGCCACGTGAGAGGCACGACACACTGAGGACTACGCTCGCGGCACTTGGGTTTGCTCCTTCCACTGCCGACCCGTCGCTGTTTCTGCGCACCGACACCTCTCTGCCGCCGTTCTACATCCTCGTGTACGTCGACGACTTGGTCTTTGCCACAGCTGACACTGCTGGACTCGCCTACGTGAAGTCCGAGCTGCAGAAGAGACACACGTGCACTGACCTGGGTGAACTGCGCAGCTACCTTGGCTTGCAGATCACCCGGGACAGAGCACGCCGCACCATTACCCTTACTCAGTCACACATGGTGCACCAGGTCCTTCAGCGCTTCGGCTTCACGTACTCCTCGCCTCAGGCCACTCCTCTGCCTACTCGCCACTCGCTCTCAGCTCTGCCTTCGGATGAGTCCGTAGAGTTGAGTGGCCCGTTTGCAGAGCTTGTTGGCTGCCTCATGTACCTGATGACCTGCACACGACCTGACCTCGCATACCCTCTTAGCATTCTCGCACGCTTTGTTGCTCCTGGGAGACACCGACCAGAGCACATGGCTGCAGCGAAGAGGGTGTTGCGCTACTTGTGCAGTACGTCGGGCATGGGGCTAGTGCTTGGAGGGCGCAGTCCAGTGGTCCTCACTGGGCACGCAGACGCTTCTTGGGTTGACGACCAGGCTACGCAGCGGTCGTCACAGGGTTACACCTTCAGCCTTGGTTCCGGCTCTGTCTCGTGGCGGGCTACCCGCTCGTCTTCTGTTCTCGGCTCCAGTTGTGAGGCTGAGATCTACGCTGGGGCTATGGCTGCACAGGAGTTACGCTGGCTCACCTACCTGCTGACCGACCTTGGAGAGCAGCCTCGTTCTCCTCCAGTCCTGTACGTAGACAACAAGGCCATGCTGGCCTTGTGTCGAGAGCAGCGACTGGAGCACAGAACGAAGCACATTGCTCTTCGCTACTTTCTTGCTCGTGAGCTACAGCAGCGTGGACAGCTGCGACTTGCGTACGTGGCCTCTGAGGCCAACACTGCTGATGTCTTCACCAAGGCACTTGCGCCTTGTGATCATCAGCGTTGTTGCACGCAGTTGGGTCTTGTGCCTGTCTTGCCTCACTTGCTCTCCTCTTTACCTTGCTTGTACCTTCGTATATATATACTCTTGCTCTTGTATATCTCTATATATGATCTTGCATGTGAACTGGCCTTGTGGCCTTTGAACTTGTGCTCGGAATGTGTGGTGACTTTGTGATCCACCCTGAGCTTTGGTTTGCTTTGCTTGACTGGTCTTGTGACCCCTTGTTCTCCCCCACTTTGCCTATGGGGGTGTGTCAGAGCATATAGCTTACTTGTTTTTGTAGGCTATATTGGGGTATCCCATAGGGGGTACAACCCAATTAGGGTTTCCTATTTGTACTCACTTCGTTCATAGTCATCTCATTCTCGTTCTTTGTTTTCACAAGTGCCTCGTGTATGCAACTGGGGTTGTGATCGTCGGTGGGGCAGCTTTGCTCGCCTCTTCCGTACCATATCAATCACAGTTGCAGCATTGATGCATTTATCATTTGCTTCTGAGCATTCACAATCCCAATAATTGTTGTAGTATGTTTTTGTACAAGTTTGCGCAGTACCCGTCTGTGCTTGTTGTACAAGTTTGCGTGGTACCCGTCTGTCCTTGTTTCGGAGCATAGTGCTAAGTGCCTCGTGTATGCAACTGGGGTTGTGATCGTCGGTGGGGCAGCTTTGCTCGCCTCTTCCGTACCATATCAATCACAGTTGCAGCATTGATGCAATTAGCATTTGCTTCAAAGCAAATGTATATATAAAACGTTGCCTTATGTTTTTGTAATCATTTTTCTGTTATTTATGTGTTATCGTCTGTGCTTATTTCGAGGGTGTAGTGCTAAATGTATCGTGTATGTATGCAACTGGGATTGTGATCGACGGTGGGGCAGCTTCGCTCGCCTCTTCCGTACCATATCAGTCTCAGTTGTTGCATTGATGCATTTAATATTCCCTTCAAAACATGTACGACGATACTTGTACACCAACGTTTTTGTGGTCATTTATGTACGAGTGTCTCTCGGTGGTACTACAATATTTTTTTTTGTTGTCCATTGTGTTCGTGTGTCATTGGGTATTATCTTTAGTGCTACAACGATTCTCCAATTGTTCCATTCGCCGTACTTATCGACGATTATGGAATGATTGGAAACATTTGTTTTCATTTTTTTGGGGAAGCTATGTGAACATTGATTTCTTTCAGATTTTATAAAAGAAATTCACTGTTCACATCAGCCAACCGAAAAGTGAAAACGAATGTATAAGGTTGCTACGCAACCCAAAAATCATGAGTCACTCAGTGAAAATTCAGGAAAATTGCATTGCAATGTTGCATTATCGGAAAGTTGAGTGGCTGTGAACTGCTGTTGACCAGCTCTTTAGGGCCTGTTCGGTAGCCCCGTCGAGTGAACTTGCGTGGTGTTGGCACTCAAACAGAAGTACACCGAGCCACACGTTTGGGCACGTGTCGTTGGGTGCTTCCCATCTCCTGTAAGTTTCCCAACTCCGAGGGGCGATCCGCACGCCCTCGAAACTTCGCGTGGGGAAGTTGCGAGGGTCGTGGGCGGATCTCGTTCAAAATTCTGTTGCGTACTGCTCATACTGCCCCTCTCGTCACCAAGAAAATAGATTCTCACAAAGGGGTACCTGGGCCACAAAAATACACAAATAGGAAGATTTGAAGGTCTTTGGGCAGGTTAGCGCTGGAAAAAAAAAGACATTATGCGGTTTTTTTTTTTCTTTTTTTTTCACCCTACCACGCCTTACTCCAAGTAGGCGAGGCTCACTCTCCCAAAATGCTGGAGACGGCGGAGTTGCTCCGCGGAGCTAAGTTTGCTCCAGAGTGTTTAAACTTCCGCCACACTTGCGAAGCGGGAATCAGTGAACTCACTTGAAGCTCACTAACTCCGCTTAAGGGCGCTACCGATCAGGGCCTTAGAAATCGAGAAAGGCCTACGGTATTGTTGCCTGCATCACGAAGTTCAGATGAGAAATGAAGTGACGTGCATTTCTTATTTTGCTCCTTAGGTTATTTCCGCTAGGCGTTTTGGGCTACCCTTTTGGCTAGGAGCTTGTGGTTTTTTTCACCACAAAATGGCAACGGCAACCGTCAAGCTCTTGGAGGAGATTAAGAGTTTGCTGACAACAAAAGTGGCAAGGTTAGAAAAAGGTCTGGAGGAGCTGAGGGAGGCGAATAAAGTCAGCGTAAGTGAACTTAAAGATGAACTAGCTCGGGAACGAAGCATTTGGGAGGAGAAGGAGACGAAGATGGCTGCGAGACTGGACAAGGCAGAAAAAATGCTGGTGCAACAGCGGGATGAAACGAAGAAGCTATGGCAGGTGAGAATGGTTTGACTGGGGGAGTAGCTAAAGATTTCATAGAAGTTTGTAGACTTGTCTTATCCCATTTCTCTGTCATGCTGGCCGCTCAATCTCTGTACATCGTTTTCTTTCTTTCAGGCTATATATGAAGCCTCTTATCGCTCTACCTTCCAGCCAACAACTGGTGCAGATGGGGCGATTGTTGGTGTTTCTGCTGAAGCCACTGAAGTCAAGCTGAGCAGTGGGCTATTGACGGGCCTTGGAACTGTTCGCCTTTCCTGCATGAAATCTCTGAAGAAACTTGACATTCGCGGAACTTTGGATGAAAGCGCCTTCACCCATCTCTACACCATGACATGGTTGGAGGAGCTGACTCTGCGAACAGGAACTTTTAGCAGCACAATGGCGCAAGGGGTTGGGAATTGGACGGCACTTACTCGACTTGTTTTGATTGATTGCATGATTTCAGATGCTGGGCTTGCTCAACTGACAGGCCTTAGTTCTCTGCAGACCCTCGTCCTTTCTCGTACCCACAAGAAATCCAGCAGCATTCCGCCGTCATCTGCAGGCTCATCTGCAGGCATGGTGCATGTGGCTAAGTTGAAGCGTCTCATATCACTGGATATTAGCGCATCTCTGGTACGGGACGATGGACTACTGCATCTGAGTTCCTTGGAGAAGCTGACATGGCTGAGTCTCCCAAGTAAGGTTTCTGCTCGCGGATTGCAACATTTGAAATGCCTATCCCTCAAGACCGTCCTGTTCAGGTCCTCCCTTGACCGTTATGGAGTGGAGCACCTGAAGGCTATTCCTAGCCTTGAGGAGGTTGGCCTATCCAACGCCTACGATGTCAATATTGTGAAGAGGGCTCTTCCAGACATCAATGTTTTCCAACTTTTGGAGTAGAGCATCTGAGGGCTTACCCTGTAACTTTATAGATAGCCTTGCACAGATAGCCTTGCACATCACATTGATTGAAGAAATTATATTTGGGGTTCCCAACTCCTGCTTTTGCTTGGTAGCATTAAGTTCTTTGACGAGCCTGTTTGCTGCACATCAAGCAAGAGCACAGCAAATCATCCAAGTCTGGTAGAATGTATATTGCACAAAGGGCCTTTGCCGCACCTGTCCTCAACCTCTTGAGCACAAGTGCGGCACAGCATGTGCCCGCACAGCACAGCATGTGCCCGCACGGCACAGCATGTGCCCGCACGGCACAGCATGTGCCCGCACGGCACAGCATGTGCCCGCACGGCACAGCATGTGCCCGCACGGCACAGCATGTGCCCGCACGGCACAGCATGTGCCCGCACGGCACAGCATGTGCCCGCACGGCACAGCATGTGCCCACACGGCATAAACGCTGCCTTCCTCGGCCTCTCCATGCACACACGGCACACCCACCCTTTCCCCCCTCCCCTCCACTCCCCTCAACATCCTCCCCAGCTACTGTTCCTCCTTCCACTCCCTCTCCTCTTCCCCTCTTACCGCTCCTCCCCTGTGCCTACCCCTGCGCCCCTCCTCTTCTTCCACTGCTCCTCCCCTCAGTCTCGCCACCCCCGTGTGCCTTCTGCTGCCGGATACCCCACCCACCCGGCGTGGATTTGGGTGAGAGCAGGGCTCTGTGTTCGTCTGGATGACACCTGGATTGGCGAACCTCCTAGCACTGCTACCAGTGGCACTCCTGCTCCTGCTACAGTCCTTGCTACACTCCCTGCTACAGTCCCTGACATGGTGCGAATTGCAGTACTTGCTACAGGACCTGCTACAGTGCCAAGTCACGGTGTTCTACCGCCGATGCACTCCCTGCCGTGTGCCGGCTGCTGCCATCGCTGCCACCACCCATGCTGATGCTAAGAACCATGAAGACTCACGCTGGCCGGCACCCAGCAGGAGCAGAGGCACTGGCAAGGCTGACAAGGCGTGCAGAGTCGGCAGCAACAGCGGGGGAATCGTCGTTTTTGTGCCACTCCCAATCCGCCTCCCCTGCTGCACTGCCATCGATCTTGAAGAGAGCAAAGCCGAAGGCAGCTTCACGAAAGGCCGACCACGCCGGCTTGGGGGAGACGAAGCTGAGAGGGGAAAGGGGGTGGAGGGAGGGAGAGGGAGGGAGAGGGAGGGGATGGGATGTTTGTAAGAGAATGGAAGTTTATGGTGTTACAAGACGTCTCAGTGTACAGCTGAATTTCCTAGGGCAGAGTATTAGGACGTCTTACAGCACAGCACAGTTGGTGTGCCCAGGATAGGACGCGGGTATACACAAGACGTCTCAGGGTACAGGTGATTTTCCTACAGTCAGTATTAGCACGCCTCACAGTACACAGCTGACCTACCTAGGGTATAGATCCTTCCCGCCGCTCCCAACGGTGATGTGCATGATCCCACAGGGGTCCTCCTGGCCATTGTACACGCGGGTCTGATGGGGTGGAGATAGGACAAGCAAGTGACAGAGAAGAAGGAATGAAGAGGTGAACCAAGGAAAAGGGTGGGCTGAATCCGGGGCAAAGGGATGCGCATGATCCCACAGGGGTCCTCCTGGCCATTGTACACGCGGGTCTGATGGGGTGGAGATAGGACAAGCAAGTGACAGAGAAGAAGGAATGAAGAGGTGAACCAAGGAAAAGGGTGGGCTGAATCCGGGGCAAAGGGATGCGCATGATCCCACAGGGGTCCTCCTGGCCATTGTACACGCGGGTCTGATGGGGTGGAGATAGGACAAGCAAGTGACAGAGAAGAAGGAATGAAGAGGTGAACCAAGGAAAAGGGTGGGCTGAATCCGGGGCAAAGGGATGCGCATGATCCCACAGGGGTCCTCCTGGCCATTGTACACGCGGGTCTGATGGGGTGGAGATAGGACAAGCAAGTGACAGAGAAGAAGGAATGAAGAGGTGAACCAAGGAAAAGGGTGGGCTGAATCCGGGGCAAAGGGATGCGCATGATCCCACAGGGGTCCTCCTGGCCATTGTACACGCGGGTCTGATGGGGTGGAGATAGGACAAGCAAGTGACAGAGAAGAAGGAATGAAGAGGTGAACCAAGGAAAAGGGTGGGCTGAATCCGGGGCAAAGGGATGCGCATGATCCCACAGGGGTCCTCCTGGCCGTTGTACCCGCGGGTCTGATGGGATGGGAATGATGAGAAAAGGGATGAAAATGGAGGTGAATGACGCGAAGGATTAGGCTCAGCTGGGGTCGAAAGGACGTGAGTAATCCCACAAGGGTCCTCCTGGTCATGACAACTCACCGTGCGTTCGTACGCATGCACGTGGCCGGTGATAAGCATGTCAACGCGGGCAGCGAGAGCTTGCTGATACGTCTCAAAGCTTGTTACAGCGGCCGTTACAATGGTCGTTACAGCTTACCGTGCGTTCGTACGCATGCACGTGGCCGGTGATCAGCATGTCAACCCGGGCGGCGTACAGCGTCTGTTCCAGGGCCTTCCGCATGGCCTGCCCATCTGTCTGGTGGTCACTGTTAGAGTGATACCAGGGCTCGTGCAGCGATGCTATGAGCCAGGGGGTTCTCGAGCGATCGACGGCTGACAAATTACTCTGCAAGGGAAGGTATAAAGAGGCATGGATGGGTGCAGAGCGGTGAGCGTCTGTTCCAGGGCCTTCCGCATGGCCTGAAAGTCTGTCTGGTGGTAGCTGTTGGAGTAGTACCGTGGCTCATGCAGCGATGCTATGAGCCAAGGGGTTCTTGAGCGATCCACACTGGATAGATTTTTCTGAAAATGGAGGGTACAGAGGGACACGGATCGGTGCAGAATGGTGAGAATGGGATGTGGTGGTCGCTGTTGGAGTGATAGCAGGGCTCGTGTAGAGACACCACCAGCCAGGGGGTTCTGTCTGGTCTGAGCCACGCTTGATAGATCCCTCTGTAAGGATGAGGGGATGGACGTTCAGAGGGGTACAGATGGGCGCAGAATGGTGAAGTGGGTGTCCGTCTGATGGTCGCTGTTGAAGTGATACCAGGGTTCTTGCAGGGATGCTACGAGCCCGGGGGTTTTTGAGTGATCCACGGTTGATAAGTCCCTCCGCAAGAGAAAGGATGAGGGGATGGGACGGAGGGACAGAGATGGGTGTAGCGTGGTGAGAGTGGGTGTCTTTTGGTCGCTGTTGGAGTGATTCCAGGGTTCGTGCAGGGATGCTATGAGCCAGGAGGTTTTTGAGCGATCCACGGTTGACAAATCCCTCTGCAAGGAAAGGTACGAAGAGATATGGATGGGTGCAGAGCGGTAAGCGTCTCTTCCAGGGCCTCCCTTCCTCATGGTCTGTCCGTCTGATGGTCGCTGTTGAAGTGATACCAGGGTTCGTGCAGGGATTTTAGAGCACGGGGGTTTTGGACCAATCTGTGCTTGATGGGTCTCTCTGCAAAAAAGAGGATGAGGGGATGTTCAGAGGGGTAGAGATGGGTGCAGAACGGTGAAAGTGGGTATGCATGTGGTGGTCCCTTTTAGAATGGTACCCGGGCTCGTGCAGGGATGCCACCAGCCAGGGTGTTCTGGACCGATCCACACACGACAGATCCCTCTGCAAGGGAAGGTACAAAGCGATATGGATGGGTCCAGGGCGGTGAGCGCTAAGGGAGGCAATGCTAGATGTGACTAAACGGGATGTGTTCTTGAAGAAAGCTCACATGCAGCCATTTGCGCTGGTCAGTGTCGGGGCCGAATGGTGAGTAGAGTAGCACGAGAGCACGATGATATGTGCCCGTCCCACCTCGAACGATTAAAACAGCTTAGAAGGCGACTTACTAGGGGAGGCAATGGTACATGTGACTAAAGGGGATGTGCTCTTGACGAAGGGCTTTCTCACCTTTAGCCATTTGCGCTGCTTGGAGTTGGGGCCGAAAGGTGAATAGCAGGAGAGGCGAGCACGATGACAACCTTCGCCTGTAAGGCTCATTCGCGTTATTCTTTCTTGAAGGCTCACCTTCAGCCACTTCCGCTGTTCAGAGTCAGGACCGAAGGGTGAGTAGCAGGAGAGCACGATGATATGCGCCCCTGCCACCTCAAACGAGTAATACAGCTTAGAAGGCGACCCGCTGGCAGCAGAAGGCATCTCCCACCGCTTCTTATATGCCAGAAAAGCACCGCCGTTTAGCAAAGCGGATCGCTTAAGAAACGCAGGCCACTCGAAGTCCTTCGGGCTGATCGCGCTAAGTGCCTCGGCTTCGTGGTTTCCCGGCACGACCATCCAAGGGTGTGTGCTGGCGTCTGGTTCAATCAGAGACTGCCACCTGTCCCACACGGATTGGACACCGTTGGCGTAGGAGAGATCTCCCGGGACGAGGGTGAGGGAGTGGGGCTGCTGGGCGAGACGAGAGATGGTGGTGCGGGCTGCCTTGGACAGACCAATGTCACCTGGACGGGAAGCAGGGCACGAGAAAGGGGTGTAAGAGGAGTGGAGAGGAGGGTGAGGGAGTGGAGCTGCTGGGCGAGGCGGGTGACGGTCGTGCGGGCTGCTTTGGACAGACCAATGTCACCTGGAAAGGACGCAAGGTGGGAGAGAGGAATGGGAAGGAGGGAGAGAGGAGTGGAGAGGAGGGTGAGCGAGTGGGGATGCTGAGAGGGACGAGAGATGGTTGTGCGGGCTGCCTTGGACAGACCAATGTCACCTGGACGGGAAGCAAGCAATGCAAGGGAGGGGAATGGGAAGGAGGGTGAGAGACCTGTATCAACCTTTAAGGGCAAACAAGGAATCCGTCAACAAGATCTGTTTAAAACATCTCGTGGCATAGGAGCAACCTACAGGTATCCCTCCCACCCAGCCTCAATCCCTAAACCTATCCAGGTATCCCTCCCACCCAGCCTCAATCCGCATGTTGATGCCTCCCTCTCCCACCTGCTCCCGCCCACTCCCATCCGCTTCCACCAATCATCACACCAGCTCTCACCAACAACAGCGATGCTGACGTCAGCAGCAGAATCAGAACCACCCCCTCCTAATTCTCACCATGCTCCCACCCACTCCCACCCACCCTGGACTCAACTCCCGATTCCCGAACCCACTGTCTCACCAACAACAGTGATGCTGACGTCAGCAGCAGCATCCCCGCGCGAAGGACCTCCACCTCACCGTGGTGCGCGGGTGGAAACACTAGGGACTGGTCATCCCTAGTGGCTAAGAGAGGTCCACCCTGGGGTCGAGGACCCGCAGGGCCCTGGGGTTTGGGACCCACGCCTGCGGACCCCCATCCGTATATCAGGTGTGGGAATACTCCGGGGGAACAGCGTGAGTGCGAGGAACGACTGCGCGTGCAGGTCACGACAGTGACTGACGGGCACGCGCGTACGTTTAAGCACTCTACAAGGGGGACTGGAAGGGCGGGCCCCGCACAGTCCCGACAAAGGGGTCCTAGGAGGTGGGAGATGGTCCCGGCCCACCACCGAACGGCAAGGGCTGGCTCGCGTGGGATTGAGCCGTTGCATCTGGGAATCCCACGGGTTGTGCATTCGGTCCGTGCACAATCCGTGTAGAGGGCCGCGCCATGACGGAAGTGGCGCCGCAGGCGGGTAGCGGGGGGGCTGGAAACCCCCCCTCTCCTGACCTGAATCCACACTAGGGTACACCACAGGCCCTAGTGTTGACGTGTCGGGGACAACCGCGAGGGTTATCTCAGAGTTTGTAGCCGCCGTCGGGGGATAACTGTACCTTTTCCTCTGTAGCCAACGTCCATCAGGATACGGCAGTCCTCGTAATGAGGCACGCGCTGGGGCAACGGAGAGTTTAGTGGACACCACACGTCCCCGCGACCGCACTACGGACCGTTGGCTCAAGAGGGGTTTTGGAGTGCGGAGCTAAGTGGGGATGCCGACCCTGGGGCAAGGCGTGAAACCCTCACCCCTGGGGCGCGGTTCTCTTCGGGGCTAACTTAGCAAAAAAAAAAAAAAGCAGCAGCAGCATCGGTGGGCGGAGTTACAAAGGACCGTTCTGGCCCCTTCCCTGCGATGCGATAGTAGTAGGTGGTTTTGGGTTGCAGATTCGAGAGCACTGCGCTGTGCAGCTGGTCCGACCTGCACAGGTGACGTGATGGGATGGGGAGAGGAAAGGTGGAGGGTGGAAAGAGAAAGGGAGTACAAGTGAGCGTTCTGGCCCCTCCCCTGCAATGCAATAGTAGTAGAAGGTGGTTTCGGGTTGCAGGTCTGATTGCACAGCGCTGTGCAGCTGGTCCGACCTGCACAGGTGGTGGATTGGGGAGGATTACCACACAACGGGAGGAGAGGGGAAATAGTCAAGGGAGGGTATTACAAGGGATCGTTGCGGTCAGTGGTGTCCCTCCCGCAATCCGATAGCAATAATAGGTGGTGGCTAGGTGGAGGGTTGGAACGTGAAGCAAGAAAAGGTGACTCTGGTACGAAGTGCATTCATGGGAAGGAAAAGTGTTGAGCCAGATTGGAGGACAAAAAGAGAGAAGTTAAGTGTTTGAGAGAAGCAAGCAATGAAAAAGAAAAGGGAAAAATCTTTTTTTTCTAGTGTACTCACGAATAGGTCAGGAAGGTGTAGCTGGAAGACTTCCCCTTCGCCTTGTTGGTGTATTGCCCAGAAGTTACACCGAACTCCACCAATGACGACGTACCACGGCGAGACGTAGACCACATGACTCTGATGCTGTTGGGGCCGGCAAGAGCTAAGTGTACCTGGGGAATGGGCGAGAGACGAGAGGCATAGGGAAAAGACAGAAACGAGTTTGGGAGAAGGGATGTGGTTAGGGATTGACTGCATGACTCTGATGCTGTTGGGGCCGGCTAGGGCTTCGTGCTATGCACCTGGGGAGTGGGCGCGAAGGGTACAGGCATAGGGACGAGACAGAAATGCAAGATGTGCTGTCTGTGAAAAGGGAGTGACCACATGACTCTGATGCTCTCTGATGACCACATGACTCTGATGCCCTCGCGCAAAGCTCATTGACGGTTTCGGAATGTGCTGAGGCACAAAAACACACGTGGAGCCATGAAACACAGAGGGTACCGGGATAAACCATCTAGTAGCAGCTCTGCAAGCTCTCCCGTCTGTCATCCACCTGTTTTGGCTTCTTCGACCCTGACCAGCGAAAGAGTGATCGCCTCTTTCCAGCCCACTCAGAAACATCTCCCGTCTCTGAGGCACCGGCACCTTCAAGTCTCAGGACTGCGAGCCCACCCATCCGCTACCCACCTGTTTTGGCTTCTTCGAGCCTGCCCGCCAGAGGAACAGTGACCGCCTCTTCCCCATCCACTCAGAATCATCTTCCGTCTCTGAAGCACTGATACCATTGACGCCTATGCGTTTTCCGCCTACAAAACTGGGATCGGACAGGGAGATATTGTGTGCTTGGCTGGCGGTGGCAGATGCAAGCGAGCTTCGGAGATTTGTACAGAGGAGCGAAAAGAGGAGAAGCTGGGTGAACAGAGCCGAGGACGAGGTTCGGCCCGAACCTTGTCCGAAGGCTCGGCACCTCGTTCCGCGAGCATGGTACTTGGGGTGTTCCGCTGATGAGTGGCTAGTAGGTAGTGTGACTGTACAGAGGCCGCCAAGCATCACGCGAAGCACTAAATCTCGACGCATTGTGGAATTTTCACGCGGTTGTTCGGGTCTAGCTACTTGCAAGTAACGGATAAAACTAGATGCTGTAGGGTCTGCAGCTGCCGCTAGTGTAGCGTAACTGTTAGTTGAAAGGATATAGTGAAGCGCTTCGAAGAAATGTTCCAAAAAGTTGTGGAACCAGCGATACGGGAGGCGGTCGTCTTTAAATGCTTAGCGTTCGTCTGGCGCCTTTGTCAAGCGAAGGGAGAAGTGTGGAGCAGTTTTGGGGGTGTGGTCGTCGAAATCTGAGAGATAACTCAGCTGCAGCCGACTGGAATGCAGACTATGCGTGGCCTCGGTCCTCGGTTTATAGATCATACTGTGTAAACAAAATAAACAGGCTTTTGCGCGTCGCACTCAGAAATTCAGGCTCACGGCCCTCGGAAGATCAAATCGACGACTATACGAAAGCGACGCGTGGCTCCAGAAATGGTTTTCCTGTGGGGTATAGAACCTAGGGACTAACGGGACAGGCGAGTATCGCTCAGGGAGCCTAGAGCGCAGGTGGCCTCTTGGTGAATTCGATTGGTCACTCGCACGCGCCGCGCCTCGAGCGTGGTTCACGGAGGGAGGCAGAGTGGAGAAACAGGAAGACCCGCCTTGGGCTTGCCTGTCCCACCCACAGTTTTCGGTGGAAGGCTGGTGGTGGGGTTGACTCTGCGATTTTTTCGTCGATGCGAACTTTCGCCTCAGGTGTGATGGACGGCAATGTTGGGGGATTGTGTGAGGCAAACCGAAGTTGCGACTGCGAGTAACAAAGGAGGTAAACGTTTCGTCAATGCATCGCCAAACCGTATGTCGCTATAGCGCTGACGGGGTGTAGAGTTTTCGTATAGTTCAGAAAAGTGATGACCCAACCTCGTGTTCCCGAGGTTCCCGCCTAGCTAGGATGACCCACTATATTAGTGCGTGCCTTCATTGTATTGTCAATTCATTGAGTCACATCTTCGTTATTCGTTATTCCGCGCACTCTCTTTTTCAACTCATAACACCTTGTATCAGAGCTTCTTTCCTAGTTCACCCCACTTTTCGAGGGAAGTTTGGTGGCACGGGTGTGGCCGGCATAGTGGACTACACGACGGTTGGCTGCAATGTTTGTTAATTCGATCCTGCCCAACTCCGATAGTTCGTGTTTTTCACTCACCGGAAGACCACGGTTACCCCTCTGCCCACCAGACGAAGCATGCGACTCATAGACCAAGAGACGTTGAACAAAATGTTGGCGCAAATGGCAGAGCTACAGACAACAGTGCAGACACAATCGGCAGAAGAGACAACGCTGCGTGCGGAAAACACCAAGCTACGCCAGACGCGAGGTGAAGCACGTCAGGAGTCGCCCGATGAAGAAGGCGTGGGCAACAGTCAAGCGGTGAGCAACCCGTTGGACGCGCTCACACGTGATTTCGAAGAAGATGTCACATGCCAGCACTGTTTCAATCGGTCCCTTGTGTTGGGGGCTAACTGGATAGTTGCGCTGGGGCAGTGAGTGGTAGAGGGATGATGGGGGGTATGATAGTGGAGCAAGAGGAGATTTGAGATCATGTAGCCTTCAGCCAGCCCTTTGGATAGCAGTCTGGGAGAGATTGCTTAAGAGGGATGGGGGAGTTGATGGTGCGTAATAAGAGTGCTGGTTTGGGTGGTGGTGAAGCAAGCAACATCTAATTGCACAAGCCACTATGTAGTCACTTCTATTTTGTTGGTAGCAGCTACGGTACTTTTTTTTTTTTTTTTTTTTGTGCTCTCTGGTAAATGCAGCATGTCTTGTTCTGTGGTGTATCAATTGCTAATGAAATTCCTAGAATGTTCACTTCCTAGAATTCATTGTACCGAAACCTAGATTTACATTCTCACAGTGGAATCTATAGTGACATTCCATTCACTAATTATAAGAAGGTTTGTTCCACGCACATCTTGACTTGAGCAGCGTGGAATACGCTGCCACATTCATGCCTGGTCCATGCCTTGTTCACGCCTTATTTACGCATTGTTTATGCCTTATTTACGCCTTGTTTATGCCATGCTCCCGCCTAAGGAGAAGCAAAAATTACGAATCTGGCGAGCCGTGTCGTACGCCCAGCGCGAAAAAATGTTTTCCCTCAGATGGGATGTGCGCTGGTCGTGAAGTTTGCACGGCGGGAATTTGGAGTGATTGCTGCTCTCGCGGAACTAGGTGCAGCTTCGTCGGGTCTCTCGGCCAAAGTTTCACCGACGTCCGACATCGAGAAAGCGTTTATAGCGTTAGAACCTAATTTCCTCGTGAAAATTTATCATTTTGCTGACCATTGTCCTCACCAAGCTCGTCGGCTCTTCCTCTTGCCAACAAGCGAGCCGAGTTCACAATGACGACGACAAGAGCAAGGCTTCTAGAGGAGATTATGAGTGTAGGGACAAAGATAGCCGTTCGATTTGAGGATGCAAGGAGGGAGCTGGAGGCGGAACAACGACAGAGAAACTCTTTGGAACTCATGGAGATCCCAATGCTGACTGATAGATTAGAAAGCCTTGAGAAAGCTCTAAAATAATCGAGGGAGGACAACATCAACAACATAAGCGAACTCAAGAAAGAGCTAGCAGCTGAGAGGGCTGCAAGGGAGGAAAAGGAAAATGAGGTGGCTACACTAACAGCGCCACTCTTGCAGGCAGAAGAATCGCTTGCGCATTAGAAGGAAGAAATGAGCAAGATTTGGGAGGTGAGCTGGACATGTCAGAACATTATAGCTTATACATTTGTGTAGGCTGTAGTGGGGTAGCCCATAAGGGGTACAACCCAATTAGGGTTAGTACTTGTACCCAACTGTTTCATAGTTCATTCATCCATTCTCACTTCTCGTCATGGTATCGAGCAGGTTCCCGAGTGGGAATACTGCCTAGGGCCCACCACGAACTTGTTTTTCATTCCCTTCCCGGAGCGCGCTTCGCTCCTAACCCGAGTAGCGCCTCGGGCCGCCCTTGGTGGCCCCCGTTGGCCGCCCTCACGGCCCCTCGCGCCGTCTTTTACGGCCCCATACTGAGGAAAGTAGAACGAGAAGGGGTTGACTAAGGAATGGAAGTGATACAAATATGCAACCCTAGAAATGTGTACCCCATATGGGCTACCCCACTATAGCCTACACAATATTATAACTTGACACACCCCCATACGCAAAGTGGGGGAGAACAAGGGGTCACAAGACCAGTCAAGCAAAGCAAAACAAAGCTCAGGGTGGATCACAACGTCACCACACAGTCCGAGCACAAGGTCAAGGCCAAAAAGCCAGTTCACATGCAAGAGTACACATAGATATATAAGGCTAAACAAGCAAGAACAGGCATACATATATAAAAGTACAAGCAAGGTCAAGAGGTGAGCAAGTGAGGCAAGACAGATACAAGTCCCAGCTGAGTGCAAAAGCGCTGATGATCACAAGGCGGAAGTGCCTTGGTGAAAACATCAGCAGTGTTGGCCTCAGAGGCCACGTACGCAAGTCGCAACTGACCACGCTGCTGCAGCTCACGAGCAAGAAACTAACGGAGAGCAATGTGCTTCGTTCTGTGCTCCATGCGCTGCTCTCGACACAAGGCCAGCATGGCCTTGTTGTCTACGTACAGCACTGGAGGAGAACGAGGCGGCTCTCCAAGGTCGGTCAGCAGGTAGGTGAGCCAGCGAAGCTCCTGTGCAGCCATGGCCCCGGCGTAAATCTCAGCCTCACAACTGGAGTCGAGAACAGAAGATGAGCGAGTAGCCCGCCTTGAAACAGAGCCGAAACCAAGACTGAAGGTGTAACCTTGCGACGACCGCTGAGTAGCCTAGTCGTCAGCCCAAGAAGCGTCCGCGTGCCCAGTGAGGACCACTGGACTCCGCCCTCCAAGCACAAGCCCCATGCCCGACGTACTGCACAAGTAGCGCAACACCCTCTTCGCTACACCCATGTGCTCTGGTCGGTGTCTCCAAGGAGCAACATAGTGTGCAAGAATGCTAAGAGGGTATGCAAGGTCAGGTTGTGTGCAGGTCATCAGGTACATGAGGCAGCCAACAAGCTCTGGGTACGGGCCACTCGACTCTACGGACTCATCCAAAGGCAGAGCTGAGAGCGAGTGGCGAGTAGGCAGAGGAGTGGCCTGAGG